CTCTCGGCAATACGGAGATTGATGCTCGTTATTCTAACAAAGCCCTATAACGAATATGTTTTAATAATAATCATATGATTGAGCTATCGTATTACACGCGATGTCGCATCTTACGCGCGTGTGTGTGTACATGTGTGCGTTCGTGTTGTGACAGGTGGAGAGGGAGAAGATTCTCACTGAGGAGCAAGCCAGCAAGACTCTGCTGGAGAAGACCAGCGCAGAGAGAACCCTCAGCAGCATCGAGTCCGAGAATCTTGAGATGCAGAGACAGGTGCGTGCGTGCGTGCGTGCGTGCGTGCGTGCGTGCGTGCGTGCGTGCGTGCGTGCGTGCGTGCGTGCGTACATGTGTGCGGGCGTGCATGCGTGCGGGCGTGCGTGCGTGCGTCCGTCCGTGCATGCGTGCGTCCGTGCGTGCGTGCGCGGGTCTGCGTGCGCGTGCGGGTCACAGAGTCAAATGTGAAATGAATTATTGTTTATTGTTTTTTATTGTTAAACAATTAAACGACGTTAGCCTCGCTAAAATTCATTCGCCTGCCAAATAAGCCAATCTTGCTTCGGCAACATGTTGTTGCATGCATACGTGATTATCGGAAATGTATTTGTTATCAATATTGTTATTATAACAAGGATGTCTTATTACTGTTGCCTCGCGCAATCATGGCTGCGCGAAATCTCGCCGACACCTCCGAACAACGTCGCCGACGCTCTCTTGTTTTCTGCGCGCCCACAGGTGCAGAACCTGCAGGCGGCGCTGGCCGAGCAGGAGCAGCAGCATGCTCAGAAGATGATCGACCTGACGACGCGGCACCGCACCGAGACGGAGATGGAGACGGAGCGACTGCGCACGGCGCAGCAGCAGGCCGAGCGCACGCTGGACAGCCGCGAGCGCTCGCACCGCATGCGCATCAAGTCGCTCGAGGAGCAGGTGCGCGGGCCGCCAGGGGGCGCCGGGGAGAGGGTGCGGGGGCAGGGGGTGAGCGGCGCGGGTTGGGTCGGGGGTCTTCGAGAAAGCGGCGTGCGGTGGGTGGTGGCTCTTGAGGCAGGTGGTGCCGGCTCATGGTTCCAGACGAGGGTAGCGGCAATCGGGGGATCTAGTTCAGATGGCGCTGACACCGGCGCCGGCACAGGGGGTGGCAGCAATGGGCCCGCTAGCTTACAATACAGGGGCGCGGGATCTTTTCTCATTTCTCACGTCCTTTTGGGTGCGGGTGATCGATTGTCAGCGTCTGCGAGCAACAGGCATGCGAATTGTTTCCCCTCACGGGTTGGCCGCCCCCCCCCCCCCGTCACACATCTTGTCTACCGATAGAATCACAGACCATAGTGCAAGATGTTTACCTTCGTTGCCATCTTACCATGTTTACCCCTTGCCCCCCCCCCCCCCCCCCCCCCCGCCCCCCCACCCCCCGGTTACCCTAACCACCTGTTGGTGCTTGCTTCATTTGTTGGTTGGTCATGGATTATTTGCCCGCATAGTAGTTTTTTCCCGTTTCATAATCATAATGCGTTTAATTTTTCATTGTGAATTCATCACTATTATATATATATATAATATATAATATATATATATATATATATATATATACAGATATGCCAAATAGTAGTTACCGTTTCTTAATTGTAAAATTTATTGTTGTTGCGATTTCATCTGTACACGTGTACATAGTTGTTGCTTACTGTTTCATAATCAGTAAGTTTATATAATCTCCTTGCGAATTCGTATACATATATATACATCTACATAGTTGTCCCTCACTGTGCCGTAACCGTACTAAATAATGTGATTGCAAATTCGTAACCAAACGACGTTTATAACCTACTTAATAATCTCGTCGCAAATTCTTAGCGCGACGAGTTGACGCTAACGCCGAGTTTTTCAACGACAACTCTCACTCGGCCTGTCTCACCGGTTCGTTCTCCTCCCGCCAGGTGGCGCACCTCAAGGACCAGCAGGCGCAGGAGATGCGCAAGCGCAACCTGTACATCAGCCGCAGCAGCCGCGCGGGCGACGACATGAAGGACCTGCGCGCGCTGCTCGGCGACTCGCTGTCGGCCGTCTCGCGCGACCGCACGCTCGACCCGATCCTCCTCGAGCACGAGATCAAGAAGCTTGACGACTCGATGGCCTACCACGGCGGCGGCGGCGGCTACCACGACGTGTCGTCGCCGCCGAGCAAGCTCGCGCACCGGCCGCTAGCGGGCATCGGCGGCCTACAGCGCACGCGCAGCATCTCGCCGGCGCGTCTCAGCCGCCCAATGTCCTCGAGCCCCAGCTTCAAGAAGCGCATGGGCTCGAAGTCTCGCCTCAGCTTCAAGAATTAGCGACGCTTATTCTTGAAGGACGGGGTGTTTCTTTTTGAAGGTCGCGGGTAGGGGGCGCCGCCGTGGGAGGACGGGTCGTCGCGCGCCGCCTCGAACGCTCGCGCGTAGGCGAGGGCGCCGCATGTAGGTGCCGCCGCTGTGCGTGGCGCGTGTACGGAGCGCGCGGCCGTTCCATCTCCCTCCCAGCGCCGTCCCTTATCCTTGTCGATCTCGCCACGTGTGCAATTCTAGGCTAGCAGAGTTTTTCCTCGTAGTATAGGATAAAAAAAACCGGCTTTGACCGGACACCCCGGCTGCTAAGTTCGCGCGCACGCGCGAAAAAATGCCGCGGCCGCGATTTTTCGACACCGGTCGGATTTCAACAGGTAATTCAGCTCATAGTGCCACACCAGGGGGCGCCGTGTGTGCGCGTGTGTGTGTTGGCGCTCCCGCCACCTTCAATGTCACGGTTTTTCGACGAGTAGCAGCAGCAGCACCCTGTCGGCGCAGACTGACTGACATATCTTCTTACGAGAGAGATCGCCGTCATATCTTCTGCTCCGTCAGGGTTTTTCGAGCACTGCCTATCAATTTAGAGGCAAAAGCAGCGCACACCCCCGGGGGAGAGGCGGAACGGCGCCCTCTGGTGCCGACCGCCACGACTGCCCCCACCCTCGCGGGGTGGCTGGCTACTTATTACTAACGCGATGTTGTCGCATGCAGTATATTATATATAACGCGAACATCGTCACACTGCCATTTTGTCGAAGCGTCGGGTGAGCGTACGGTTGCTGTTGCCGACGACGCGGGTAGCTACATCGTACGTGCGCGTACGCGCGTTTGAATTCTGTATCGGGAACGTGCGATGCGGAGCGCGCGGGACGAATCGCGGGCACACACACTTACTCATCCTACGCGGTTATTACGCACTGGTCTGCTCTACTGCCCAGTGGGATTTTCTAACCAGAAACCAGTCGCAATATGACCGGTGGCTGCTTGTCATTTAGATTAGAATTTTGGCACCATCTTGTTTTTCTTTTGAGAGGGGAATGAATTCTACGAATTACCCCTACGTGCAGTGGCGTGACAACCGCGCCACCTGCAGCTGGGAAATTGAACTAACGTGTAGGCCAAGCACTCGTGCAGAGTGGGTGCTGCGGCGGTAAAGTTTGTGTGTGTGCGTGTGTTTCGTGGCGCGTGCTTGCTCGTACCCTTGATCGTATATATATATATATATTATATAACATGCCGTGTCACATTTACATATTCCGTCCAATATTTTCCACAGTTTTACGTGTCGTGCGTGCGTGTGTTCTTCTCGTGTATACCCGCGTGTATATGCGCGCGTGTGCGTGTACATGCGCGCGTGTGCGTGTACATGCGCGCGTGTGCGTGTATAGTGTTGCACACGTGTTAGCAGCCGACCACGCTGCGGCCATTTTGCCAAGGACGTGGAGCAATTTTTAATCCTAGTCGTAGCAGGTGCATGACATCGTGCTGAATGCAGTCGTTCTGCGACAGTGACTTCTCCCACAGAACTACCCTGTCAACGGTCAAACTTTAAATATTAAATATTTCTTTTGCCAACTGGTGCGGTCCAGGACCTGCAGTTTTATCCTGAAAAGAGGCGACAGAGTATTTTTTCGGCTGCTCAGATCAAAACGTAGAAGCAACTTCGATGCGAGAGGAGAGTACGAGTACAGTCAAAATTGTTTTGGCGGACCCCTGTCTATAAAGGACACTTCGAGGGTTTCCCTTGATCGAATCTCGGTTTGATCGTACTCTGTTTCTCTAACTTGTTTCTGTTGAGAAAACTGCAGTAAACTATAATACTAATAATAACGATAATTTTAACGAATCTGTTCTCGGTGTAACATTGTCCGACTTTTGGAGAATTACGAATTCACGATCAACAGTGAGAATCAACGGTCGTATTGGACTAACGTAGCGGACTATCGTTACGATACATTCCATGTTCACACGCCCCCATGAACTGGTTCGTTTGCCTGCTCCAGTTCCCAGTGTTTGGCCGTCGGTGTATAGCGACGGCGCCCGCGAATCTCGCACGCGAGGGTTCCCTCGCCAACCCACGTGCCAATCGGGTTCCCCGCGTGCGTCCGCGGTTGGTGACGCGGTGCTGTGACTCCCCCTGGCGGCTAGAATCGGCGGAGTGATCGTGTTCGTGTGGGCTTGCGAGCGATCCTTTTGAGGCGATTCTGTCCCCGATTCTGTCTCTACATTCCTTTTCTCCATTCCCTCTCTAAATTTCTTTTCTACATTCCTTCTCTACATTCCTTCTCTACATTCCGTCACTACATTCCTTCTCTACATTCCTTCGTGCCTTCTCGTCACTGTAAGCGATCCGCCGCACTTCAGTTAATGAGACTGCTGCCGGAGTCATTACTGCTCCCTGCTAGAAACGCCAGGGAACAGTGCACTGCAACGTTATGCATCGCAGCGCAATGCAATGCAACGTGATTCGAAGCAACGCAACGCGTGGCGATGCAATGCAACATAACGACTGAAGCGCGGCGGTTCGCGCGGCCTCCGCCAGGTGTCTCTGGTTGCTCGCGGCGTGCTGACGGCGCGCGCGTGCCGGCTGTGTCGCGGCCGCCGCCCGATTGTGGACGGACGGCAAGACGGGTCGCCGACAGCGTCCGTTGGTCGCGTCCGGGCACGGCACGCGCGCTGCCGGCGCATTTCGCATCAGCCCCCATAGACCCGGCGACCGGTCGGTCCTCACGATTCACATTTAAATTGAATACGCTTCATGTTGATTGTTTTCATGTTTTGGCGGGAAATCGTCGCTTTTCGGTTCAGAATTTTTTCGTTTAAAATTACCCGGTTTTTCTGTAACGCGGTGTGTTCGGGTTACGAGTGTCTCTCGTGTGCCTCAGGGTCTTCTAAGGACAGACCAGAAGGCACGGCTCATTCTTCGGTTGCAAACAACGCTCACGAAAGTTTTCCGTCGTAATGTATCGCCTTATAAAGCATCTAGTCGGTGTTTTTTTTAGATCGTAGTAATCTCGGGTTTTATCTCACTGTGTCGCAGTGTGTGTGTGTGTGTGTTCGCCATGGCGTATGTACTTGTACAAGTCGGTTATATGCCAAAGAGATGCAACCAATAGCTTTTTTTTCCGCGTGTTTTATCGTTTGTGTAGTATTCTAGTTGTATACTCATGATATATGGATCTATCGGGAGGCACACGTATTTACGTACCACGACTGTAGTCCGCTAGGTTTCTATAGAAGTATTTTAGTTGTTTGCGTACGTAGGGGGAAACTATCTATGCAAAGTCGGGTAGTAGGGGAATGCGCGCGTGTCGGAGAGTGCACTTGCACATGTGTTTGCATCAAGCATGAGTTTTCAGTAAGGGCTAGGGGATTCCCGGTGTCAGTTAACGGGAGGTTGTGACGTGACATCCGTCCACCGGTCTTGATTCGCGAGAGTGAATCACTTGTGAGAGAGACAGAGGAACAACGCGATTGCGGATTAGTCTAGAGTTGTTGCAACGTGTTTACATTGTGTGGGTGCACACGTGCACATGTGTTTGCGAGTACCTGTTTCTTACTGACACCCTACTCTTTGCGTAGTTGTCCTTCGAGCAATCAACGTCAAGTGAGTGACAGAAGTTTATATATATAATTATTTAGTCCAGCGCGTTGAGCGAAATGTTAACTGCGAGCTATAGCGAAATTAGCCTTTCAGTTTAATTATATATCTCTATATATGCTTGTTAAATGTACTCATTTTCACTATTGTTTACAATTACTATTATGCCATATTATATCAACTCGATTCGATGTTATTGGTACATTGGAGAGCGTCAGCCCACTGGGTGCGTGCGCACTACAGGTATGGCTGTCATTGTCCGGCAAGAGATGCCCCAGGTGTAGTAATGACGTCACTCGTGTCCGCACGATGGCGCCACTCGACCGTGTCCTCCATCCCTAATTTTATAGCGGCCGCTGGTGTGAATCGCCCGCATCGTATCGAGGATACGTTCATGTCGTGTCACATTCTGACCATGCATGGTGTGTCAGCTTGTCATCATGTTAAAGGCTGACCATTCCATGGTGCACCAGTCGGTCATCATGTTAGTCTTGACCATTCTATGGTGCACCGGGTAGCCATCATGCTACAGTCTGACTATTCCATAGTGTGTCATGTTATCCATGTCATGTGTGTCCATAATTATTATTATACCATGTTACAGTCTTGACTATTCCATGGTGCACCAGGTTATCACCATGTTACAGTTTTGATCATTTCATGGTGCACCAGGTTATCACCATGTTACAGTTTTGATCATTTCATGGCAGATGTCGTCAATGCTCTAGCTTTGCCCATCTTACCACCACCATCAGTGGATTTTGTGCATCGTAACACCACTGCCATCACGAACTCTCGTTACTAGTTTCACGAGCGAAAGGTTTTCCGGGAGCAACACTAGTAATTTGTGTGGTTTTATTACTTACGTGGAGTCTACGGTAAGAGTCCTTTGGCTTACATCGAAACAATTATTGGGACTCTGTGTAGAGCCACCAAGCAAATGATGAGTCTTTACCGACATGAAAGAAATAGTCTAAAATGTTCCACGTTGATGTTTTTCCTGTGAGTAACTACGTGCACGTTCGAATCGGCCTATGTATATCAAAGACTATATATAGTTTCCTCTGGTTCAAATCCAAATTTTCACCCGGTTTTTAGGACACGGGCGTTTTAACCAAGAGCTTTAATAACGAAATCTTTCCTTGCCTTGGGTCATCCACGTACAATGCCAGCTAGGGTTCAGACAGCAGAAAACACTCATGAAGTGCTGTTTTATTGAAAGGAGTTTACATGTTACACAGAAAATAAAACTGATAACTGTCCACGAAATTGCGTTTTCTTTGAATGATTCTGTTGCCTCGTTGACCTTTCTAAATGGAAGGTGAACTTCGCGATTACCTGTGGATTAGACTGTGGTTCTCGAAAAAGAAAATAGCGAGAATAACTACGAGAAACCGTCACGTGTATTGTAGGTAATATCACAGATTTTTTTCAACTTTCGTACGCGCGAGACCGGCAAATCGGTTATACAACTATTTACACTGCAGATGGCGCCACCAAGCACGTTCAGCAATCCCGTCTGTAACTACACTATGGTGTAACACTCAGGTAATCCTTGTAAAATCAAAAACCATGCCAATTAAAACCCATATCAATGCAGGCTCAACAAACTGAGCTTCTTGACACTGTCCACATAGCGCACCCTTGGTATTCAGCATTCTAAACTAGTGTCTCGCTGTGTAGTCGGTTTAACTGCCACTGAGGAAATGGACAGAACCTGGTCATCCGCCTAAATCTACGCTCTGTAACGTGCTTCCTCCTCTCTCGCCTTCATATTCACACAGATTACTCTTTTGAATACATCTACATTTCGACACAGTGTACAAATAACTTTGGAATATCATTTGGCCTCGAAATTGAGACTTTGATAAGACAGTGTAGTACGTTAGTACGACATCGCGATCTCTGATATTTCACCAAGTCTGAGTGTCTAGTCATATATGTGTACATTTCCTTACACTGCACCACAGCTCGCGTACATTGTCACAATTCAGCACATCATCGCAACCACTGGCAGCGGAATCAAGTCATAACCGTGTCGACCACACTCACGCTACAGCACATACATAACCATCTACATATGAGGTTACATATGTATGTGCAGTAGCCTGAGCGTGGTGGTGGTAAGGACGAAGGCAGCAGACTTGATCCCGCTGCAATGATTTTAACAGATAGGTCGATGGAATAGTGGGTCTCCACTCGCGGTTAAACCACTCGATAATTAAACTATACTACTATACATTCGTAGCGGAATTGAAAGGAAATTCGCGACACGCTCGCCTCCCGCACACATATTACACGTGCAGAGGTTGAAAATCAAGAGCTAATAATACATAACATACATGTATGTTGTACATTATATTACACGTATATTAGCCCTTGACAACATCCCGCGGTCGCTGCACGCGCTTCCAACGACATTCGTCATTTAGACTTCCCTCCATCGAGTCCGCGTCGCCACCTACTCCCGTTCGGCGACGAACCCGCATCTTCGGCGTCTCCATGTTTCGCGTCTTCGTCGTCGTCTTCGCCACTCTGATACAACACTTCGCAAGTCGTGCCATCCGAATCGTCGGTCGTCGTCGTCGTTGCTAACGTTGTCGTTGTCCGTCGTCCGTCGCTCGTCGCTGTACGGGCTCGAGGAGGCCGAGCTTGTAGCGCATCTCCGCTACCTCCTGCGCGCCTTCTCGCACGCGTAGTCGTAGAAGTAGCACTTGATTCCATCGTTACCACAGCTTTATCTTGCTACTTGTACTGCCGTCGCGGTTGCCGTCGTCGACGGAGCGCCGGTAGAGCTTCTTCAGGTCGTCGATGCTGCGCTGCGGAAGCGGACGTGAGCGCAGGCGCGCTCGATAGCGTCGGTTCCGTCGTCGACAGTTGCTGCTGTATCAGCTCGCGGTCGAGGTGCGTGAGCCGTCCAATCGTAGTCTAGGTAATCGCGGCCATGTTTGATTTGATGCTGCCTGCCGCCTCGTCAGAGGTCGGTGCGCGCGAGCGGAGACAGATGCGGAAGCTCAGCAAGGCAGATCCACGGTAAATAAAGGAGATAAGAGGGCGGAGAATGGAGGGAGAGAGAGGGGGGACCAGAGAGAGATAGAGAGAGGGAGAAAAGGGAGAGAGAAAGAGAGATAGACAGCTCTAGGGAAGAGAAAAAGAAAGGAGAGGGGAAGAGAACAGGTCCTTCCGGACACTTGTTTACTGCCAATGGCGATGTGCTGTTCACCCAGTGTGGCGGCTCCAGCGATTGAACTTCCAGTACCACAACCACTGTACCATCAGTGGGTCACTTGATGCACCGTTTCTCTATCCTTGAGCCGCACCGTTGGCTGCGACCTCTGCGTTGTATAGACTATAGACAGTCTATTACTTCAGACGAGTAGGAGAGTAGCGGCTAGCTACATCATGATCTAGCACGACCTCATCATTCATGCAAGTACACGTAGAGCGCAACGGCTACGTCGCAATCGTAGCCTACTGTACCGTCGTTTCTACTCCACCATACGTCAACGTCGCACGCACCCAGCGACTACAAAACAAGCCCGCTCCCGCAACCGTACCACACACACACTGCGTACTGCGCGTACTGCCAGCGCGCAGCGCGCTGCCGAAACATTTCGACACAACAGGTCACGGGGCGTCACGCATGAACGGCTCGAGCCCTGTGATTAGGCTGTACTCACGCATGACATCTACAGTGACATCCGCGGACAGCGGTGCCGTCTATGTGAGAGCAATATCCCTTAGAGCATATGTATAAGCCATGAAAACAGATTTATATACATTATGAAGACATCATGCATGTTTGTATGTACTTGTCAGTTATAATTTTATTAATATTTGTCCTATCTTACTATATTATTTATATAGGCAATAGCTGGCCCTACATCGTGGTGTAAACTGTGATTACCCTATATCGCTGCGCTCCTCATCATTCATTCAATATCAATTCACATTCAATTCAAAAATGTTTATGCACGACATTGCAGATATATACATAATATAGCTGTTATATAGTTTTAGAAATTGCTGTGGGAGGCGAGTTGATCTGTGAAGCTCTTCGAGTCAGCCACTCCCTTAATGGATATTATCAGGACTAAGATAATATAGATCTATTATTATATATAATATATATATATATAATATATAAAATTAATATATTGATATATATCTATATTACATATATCTAAATAATATATATCTTTATATCTATCTAATTCTTATCTATATTATATATATATCTATATATATACTCTAATTATCATAAGACTCTATATATATCTTCAGTCCTGATTTATTATTACATATACATGATGTCTGTTATTGGATACCATGAGTTTAACATACGAAAGTACAATTGATCGACTACGCAAAGGAGAACAGGTATGGATCAGTCAAATACTTAGCATAACAAAACTTAATTCAACAAACAATAACTCAAGAGCATCAAACAATATAAATAACATAATATAAACTTAACTGGTATGTACATCACAATTTAAACGTACACAGATCAACAAATTGAATGTTATGAAGACGGTATGGACATATTAACTAATCTTACGTAATGCGCGCGCGTAAAGAAATAAAATAGACGACCGTATAATATATATATTGCGCTTAATATCATACATATAATATATATATATATATATATATATAATATATATTTACACACGATATCTACGAAGGTAGGAGATAGCCGTAACCTCTCCATAAGAGACCGCGCTGCGTGCGTATAGCTAAATTGAAACTAATACCGCGACTGCTAACCGAGATGCAGCATGTGTATGGTGATTGCGTTCGACAGCTTCGACAGTTGGACAGTGAAGCTGGCGATGCGCTTTGCCAGAAGTAGCCTAGTAAATTAAATTACTGTATATTATAATTACCTATTGCGCATTCTAGAATAAAAACTGCGATATAAGATACGACACCGTTGGAAAAAGCAGACGGCCACTGAGCAGATTATAACGCTAATTTACCGTTGTCATGCGGTATTTTGTATTAAGGATCGATGCGCTTGTAAAGTGGAGGATCGTACGGAGGATCAGCCCTATGTGTACCATGGCGTTGCGCAAGAAAGCATAAGGACACTGAGCAGTTGAAATTATTAAAGTGTAGCATATAAGATTTGTTATTTTTCACATCAACTTATCAAAAGGCTCTCGTTAGTTTTAATAAAATATTTACAAAACGAATAGACGTTATACATATATCAAGCGTATGTATGAAGGCTCTTTATACGGCTTAATATTCTCTCTTAATACGCTCTTATTAGTCTTAATACGCTTAATCTCTCCTCTTAATACCGCCTTAATACGTTCTTAATACCTTAATATTCCTAGTATAATATGCTCTTGATAATATTGTAACGCACGGGCTACGGTCTCGCGAGTTATAGCGAGAAAGCATGTATGCAGGTGTCCTCTTTTGGGTTTGGGTTACATTATTGTATCTAGTGTGCTGCATGTTTGTGTGACCCTATGGTGTGACTTTGTGCGTGGATTAACTCGATACATTCAATATTACTTGTGATTTAATTAGTCAAGATTACAAATAGGAAGAAGGAGCACACCAGCTTGTCGGCACCCGTGCATGATAAATGGATATATGCATCGGTATGTATGTAATACACTAATATCGTAATATCGTAATTCCTACAGATTAGATGT